AGAAACATGGAAAGCATTAATTGATTTGAAGGAGTTTTAATTGTTATTTTTACTTAAAATTAACTACATAATTATAAATTTATTTATATTATAATTAATAATTTAATTATAGTTGTAAATAGTTGTAAATAATAAACGATTTAAAATAAATAAAAATATTGATATTTTTTTTTTAATAAAAAACAATTAGTATAACTTAATAATTTATTTTATTATTCAATCTTATTATTTTGTTTAAATTCAAAGTTAATTAAGTTATTATAAAAGTATAAAAACAAATGATACTTATTATAAAAAATGAGGAGTTGTGATTGATAAAGTGAAACGAGCGGGTTGAAAGGTGGCGGAAATGGAGCGGAAACGAGCAACAGTCGCGATGGAAAACCAGCTGAAATCAACTTTCAGTGAAATTGACACAAACGGCGACGGGGCAATCAGCTTCGAGGATCTTTTGTGGTCTGCCGCGAAGAGTCAATTTGATGTGAACAAGCTTCTCGAAGTATTTTCGACGATGGATACCGAACACACTGGAAGTGTTTCATATTATCAGTACTCCAAGTACTGTAACAACGGTGTTTAGTTTCAAGAATGCCAAAGACGAGAAACAGTGAAAGGTAAGAAATTTGTTTTGTATCACAAATTACAACATTTTCTCTTTCAATTATAATTGAATTAAAGTTCGTCGTGTTTTTCAGGAGACAAGCAAGTCACTTTAGCGTGTCTGATGATGTCTTTGTTGGTCTTCTCTGCTAAGCAACTATTACACCGATTTTGAATGTAAGTAGTGAGTACTTCCTTGCAGTTGTTGTCTTTGAACATTTGAAGGGTGAGCATATCACCGATGATACTTGCTTTGGAATACACATTTCTTTCAACTTCAGTACAAAGTCCATATATCACTTGAACTGTTGACGGCTTGTTACAGTGCTCTTCATTTTCACCATTACCAAAACTGAATGTGGCGTTCGACAAATAAGCGACGGCGTTATTCTTCTCATCATCTAATTTGTCAGATATCGTGTTGATCACATTCATTGACTCTTCAGAGAAACAGACCCCAATCTCATTCACTGAAACTTTCTGTGTACTATTGATACCCTTTTCACAGGAGTCTAGACTATCAAAATTAAATGTTTCAATTTCACCTTTGATTGTTTGAAGCGTCTTTGAATAGGTATACTCTAACTGATCTCCAGGTAAAGGAATTGATAGACAAACATCAAATTCAACAAATTCACATGATGCTAAGGTTTTACACGCATAATCTAAGTACATACAATGTTTTAAATACTTCGAGTCGCTTATAGTTAATAGTATAGCGATCACGAGGAATACTCTCATGTATTTATTGAATGAATTTTTCTATTTGAAAATTTACTTGAAAAGAACTAAAGTGGAATTTTCTGGGTAATTGTTAATTTAATTAAATTATAGTATAATTAAGTTATATGTCCTAATATATATATTTTTTTATTATCTTAATATTTTTAATATATTATACAAGTAAAATACTATTATTGTTTTATTAAAAAAATAATTATCAATATTAGGTACTAGGCAACAAGTAAAAACTTAGGGAAGTTAATTATCAATTAAGAGTAAAGTGCTTAAGATATCAAGACAATCAAAATGATCGAACAATTAAGGCATAAAACTGGCATCCCTGACGTAAAGAACATTATTGCACCTTATAAGAACGTCTCCAATGTTTCCCGTCATCGCGCCGTTTATCCACTCCTCGGTGTTTGAAAGTAGAAAGTTCATGTATTTATCGCGAGATACTAAAACACCTTTATACTCCATCCCCCACTTCAACTTAATCACTACCATCTTTCCCTTCAAACTATTCACAAATTGGTCGACCATCACCACATCCCCCATTACACTTATTGAATTTTTAGTAGTTTGAAGTTCTTTCTATTAACCATAGTATAAATCATAATTTGTAATAATATTTCTATACTAATTTAATTGTAAGTTATTAATCTTGTAGAATTTGTTATATATCAATGTTATAAAGTGAAAAATTGTTTAGATAATAAAATATAATTTATAATATTGCAAAACTATATTTTAATAATATTTTTATTAGTTACATAAATTAAAAAAATAGTAAATCATTGTCCTTAATTTATTATTACTATTTATACTATATTAATACTATATTAATATTATAATTATAAAATAAAATAAATAATTATTCCCATACAATTACTGGAAATAACATTAAGTTTCCCTTATTTATTCAAACAACTATAATAATAAAATTAATAATATTTAGATTATAATCAATTATAATGACAAGCTTTTTTGAGTATTACAATAATCTTAGTTTATACACATATAAAAAAGCTCTCGAAATGGTGTTTACACGTTTTTATTTTTAACATAAAATAGTATTCAATAGAATAAACTTGTAAAAAAACGATTAAAATACCATTGTTCTTGATAAAATCACTTTCTCTCTCAAATCTCATCATCGAATCAAAGGTGGAAAGAAAGAACTGATAATTTCAAGCAATGGAGAAGAAGAAACTGCCACCAACGCCTCCAACAAAAACACACCCAACAACGTCGCTGGACGCAACAAACTTTGACGACATCGCTTTCATTAACCAACTCCTTCCTGAACCGAACACAAAGAACTTCTCTAAGAAGTTCTCTGAAATGACGGAGACGTACGCAACCACCGAGAGAGAACTCTCGCAACTTGTTCTTCAATTCTTCGACAAGTCCGTTGCAGTAAATACGACGATTAAACAATCGGCTGAGAGACTCGAAGAGCTCTTGAGCCAAACACAAGACACAATGAAAAGGTCTGTCGACTCCGAACACACTATACTGAAAGTGTGTGACGGGATGAGGAAAATGGGATACGCAAAACGGAATTTGGAGGATATCATTCAAGTCATTACACACTTAAATCAACTCTTCAATAACCTCTCGAAGCTCGATAACCTTCTCAGAGCAAAGAAATACGACGACATCATTTTGATCCTTCAAACGACACATTTGCTCTTGAAAATGTTTGAGAAGTTTTCGGGAACAGAAAACACGATTTCGAGTGCGGTTGAGAGATACGACTTGTTCTCTGGCAAAGTGCTTGACGAGGCGAAACGCGTCATTGACCAATTTGAGAAAAAAGGAATGAGTCAAGACCAATTGGTACAGTTTGTCACGATTGTCGACTCGTTGAACGAGAAGCATATATCGGAGTTTGTTGTGTGGATGTACAACCATTTACTTGTTGGGTATTCGAATGAATTTCCGTTGACGGGAGAATTTAGTGGACTTGAGAACATCGATAAGAGATACGTGTGGTTCAATAAAAGACTGATGGGATACGAGGAAATGTACGGAAAGATATTTCCGAAACGGTGGAGAGTCGGCGAAGAGCTTGTGTTGGAGTTTGTAAGCTCCACGAAAGTTGCGTTTGAAAAATTGCTTGAGCGACTGATTGTCGAGTCGAAAAAGGCCGGTGGGGACTCGACGAATTTCACAACGAAAATTGTGAAAGCGCTTCACGTCACAATCATATTTGAACAACAATTGTATAAGAGAGTTTACCACAAGGAATACAGAAGGAAAATCGACTTGTTCCAACCTGAAAAGAAGAACATTCAAGTCAACAACAATGCTGGCGATGGCAAAGGTCTTCCACAACAAAAGTTGCCTGTCAAAAAGAGAGCGAGTCTAAAGGGGTCAAATCCATTTGACGACGAAAGTAAAAGCGCGTCTGGAAATCCGTTTTCGGACCACAACTCGCAAACTTCGTGTGACGCCAAAATCGGAGAAAAGGCGCAACCGACCAATCCATTTGTGGGAGAGGCGAGTCCTAAAATTGGACCGAACCCATTTGATGATGACTTGGGGGATAATTCGAAGGATTTGAAAGACTCAAAAAGCCTGAAAAGTTCTCAGGAAATCAAGAAAGACAACGTAAAATTGATGAAAACGGATACAACAAAAGACATAACGACTGGCGGAACTGGGATGGAGCCTGGTGATGCATACGCTGATGTGGTGAATCCCTTTGACGAAGACAACAGCGGGAAAAAGGTTGAAAGTACAGACGAAGGTGATAACACAAAGTTTGTTGTTGGCGCCCTCTCGAGATGTTTTGAACCGTACATGTCTGGGTATGTTGAGTTGGAAGACAAGAACTTGACTACATTTGTCACAAACTCCTTGAACGAAGAAAACTTTAAAGAAGAAGCTGAGGATGGCGTGTTGTCGTCGTGTAAAGATTATATTTTCTATGCGAAGAAGTGTGGAGAACGGTGTATTCAAATTACACAAGGCAAACCGTTGTTGGACGTCTGCGCACAAATTGCGGAACACGCCGAACAGTACGCGAGAGGGATATCAGCGAAGTGTAAAGAGAATGACACGATTCGGAGGTGCTGTTTGGCCATCAACACATCGGACTATTTGGGAGGACGATTGGAACAATTGCTCAAAGGATATACCGACATGGCGACAGTGTCTTGTGGAGAGGAGCTGGAGATCTTCCAATTTAATATCATCAATAGATGTGTCAAACCAATAATTCAACAATTGGTTGTGGTGTTACTCGAGAGTGTTAAAAGTGTTGTTGGAGAGGTTGTGAAAATGAATTGGGACATATCGAGCGAGTCAATTGACGATGAAGACGATTATGTGATTAAAATATGTGAGATGATAAATAACCAATTTGGCGTGATAAAGGCGAACATCTTCCAGAACTACTACATGAGAATATGTCACGTGACTGTGAGCATGATCATTGATGAGATGTTTGAAACCATTTTTAAGTGCAAGAAAATATCGGTTGAAGGCGCACAAAAAATGCAAATGGGGTATTCCCAAATCAAAAGCTCGTTACAGAAATTGCCGATGATTGAAGTGCAGAGTTGTAAAGAGACGGGGAAGGGAGAAGACGTTTTGTCGGATACAGACTACGCGATGCCAGTCAAAAAGTCGTTTTTTGGTTAT